CCGACATGTCATTTACCTTTGCCTCTCGAATTAGGATGATTTTTTCCAATCTCTTTCTTTTGGTTGCGATGCAGGTTACCCATATCTACAGAATGTCTACCTCGATCCATCTTAAATATAAACAAATATTAAAGAGAAATTACCCAAAATATGACTACAAATGTTTGTATATTCTAAAATAGGACTATCATGTTTTTATTCCCAAAATAGGACTAATTACTGTCATTTTTTGATAGTACCAAAATTTAAACATGAAAGTATTTTTCAAACTTGGCAGTAATTACTCCTATTTTGGGAATAAAAGCATGACAGTCCTATTTTGGAATTTTCTAACATTTTTACTCCTATTTCGGGAATTTTCCCAATATTAAATTTTAACAATTATGTTAATGTGAATACAAATACAATGCAACTAATATAAAAATGTAACTAAAATATCACTTATGTAAGAAAATGTGACTTTAATGTAACTAAAATGTAAGTAATTTGTGACAAATACTTATTTGTGAGTACAATTAAAATGTGACCTTTATATTAAAATGTAAGTAATATTATAATATATTTAAAATGTGACTTTTATTTTAAAATGTGACTAGAAATTTAACTAAAACTCCAAGTAGTTTAATAAATAGTTTAATATAACAAGTGTAATAAAATTAACTAAAATACAACTACTTTAATAAATACTTCAATCTAACAAGTGTAGTAAAATTAACTAAAATTCCAACTAGTTCAAAATTGTTTAATCTAACACGTGTAGTAAAATTAACTAAAATGCGACTACTTTAATATTTTAATCTAACAATTTTTTATATGATTAATATTAGTATGTAACAAATATGGTTAACTAATATGATGATGTGACAAGTAGAGTAAAATCAACTAAAAATGAAACTAATATTTGTATGTAACAAATATTAAAGATGACAAAATGAGAAAGTTTAACTAATATTAATGAAAAATGCATCTAATATAAGAAGATAACAAGTACGGAGTATATATTAAATAGATAATAAGTATATATTAAGTAGATAATAAATATAAGTAGATATAATATTTGTACTTATAAGTAGATAATAAGTATATAAGTGGATATAACAATTGTATAATTAATATATAATATAATGTTTATAGTATATAATATATATGTATACTACTATAAGATGAGTAGTACACTTATATTTAATTCTTTAATAAATATACTTAATATATTGATAGATGTAATATATGTAAAAATATATATAAATAACAAGTATATAATAAGTAGATATTTAGTAGATAATAAGTATATATTAAGTAGATAATAAATATAAGTAGATATAATGTATGTATTTGTAAGTAGATGATAAGTATATAACTAGATATAATAATTATATAACTAATTTAAATAAATGTGATAGATATTAATAGGTGTAGAGAGAATTGAAGATGATGAAGATGATTAAAGAGTATTAGTGAGTCAGAAGAATTGGAGAATAAGTGTAGGAAAATGTTTAGAAAAGGCGCATGTATCCACCTCAGATCACGGTTTTAGTTATGCTTTAATTCATGGATTTGTTACAAGTCAAGTGGCAAATGATATGCTTAATTAATGGAAGTTGCATATTTACATTAAAAAGAACCACTTTGCTAATAAAATAATGAACGGCAGGGACGGATTCAGGATTTCGAGTCAAGGGGGATGAAAATTTCGTTAGTGTAGGAGGTAAAAAATCATTAGTGTAGCAGGACAATTTTTTTTTGAGTGTAGCGAGCGAATTTTTCACTAGTGTAAGGCTCTGAAGGTTATTTTTATTCAAAAAAAATCATTCATACATACATACATGACGACATTTAAATCTATATATTACATTCTAAGTTTAGACAATGGCATACTAACTTTAGTTTTATAATTGGAGAGCTCTAGAAAAATTTTTTGATACATTAAAACATAAGAAATGACAAATCAAAGGAAAATAATTTGAAAATAAAAAAGAATATATAGCACTTTATTTAAAGATAAATAGTTTATAAAGTACACATTCATTTATCAATACTTTTCAAATAACTTCAACATTGTTTAACTACATGAATCTTATAGAAATAAAGAATTGGTTTTTGAATTACAATTTTTGCCTACCAAGAAGAGTGTTCATAAGTCACAAGAAGTTTTCTTAATATTGAAATAGTATCTATGAGATTATTTTTTTAGAATAATATTATATTGCTAATTCATATATATAGTGCATATTATATTTGTATTAATGCTAAAATAGTTAAAGTTTATTATCTATAAACGTAAGAAGTAAATGAATTGTCTAATTTAATGTCAATAAACATTTATATCTAAAAAGTGTGTAACTAGTGTGTCTGGTATTTAATATCGTTTGATATATATTCTACAAAATCATTTACTAGTTATTTAATCAAGATAATTAAACATTACAAAACTAAGAATTTTTATTTATTAAGTATCCTAAATCTTAAACAATGAGTTGCTCTATTGTTTATTTATTTAAGTTATGTAAATTATTTTAGATTTTCCTTCTTTTAAATCTCCAATTAAGTATTACATTATGTAAGACTATATAATAATTTTAAAAATGAAAAGTCAATGGGGACGAATCTAATTAAAGCATGAAAATTTTACAAAAATATTATATACGTAGTATGTAGTAAAAATTTTGAAAGTCCATCCCCGAATGAACGGATTGTATGAAAATGGTTATTAGCAAAGATTAAAGTCAAGTTCAGTAATCCCTATTTTTAACTTATCAACAAACATTTTTGCTAAACATATCACTTTTGATTTCAAGTTGGGTAATTATCAAAATATGTCAGTCTAAAGTTACTTTTCTGACTAAATTGACTAAAATTAATGTAAAAGATCATTTCAACTACTCTCATACAATGTGTTCATTATTTTATTAACAAAATTTATTCTACATATAACATTTCTATTCAGATTTGGTTTATTCAGTAGCTTTAGTCAGTATTTCATCAATTTCAATGAATCCATTATTTGTAATTTCATGTTACAAACATTTTGCCGCGAAACTACTAGAGTAATATCTAATGCTTGTCACATGTTGAATTTCATACATACCGTCGAGTGCAAACTACAAAGCAAACTATGGACATGTAAACAAATGTATATACATAGAAAGGTAGATAATAGTTGTTTGAGACTTGGAGTTAGGGATGGACCCGGGCGGGTCCGGTTCCGGGTCAAGCCCGGGCGGGCTTTTTTTTCAAATGGTTGGGCCCGGAACCGGCCCAGGTTGATATCAAGTCTGGTCCTAACCGGGCCGGACCTGTCGGGCCCTGGTCAAGTTAATTTTCTTTTTTGCTTTCTAACTAACCCCCGACCCCCCCCCCCTCACCCCCACCCCCAACCCCCCCCCCCCCTCAAACACCCAACCCTAACCAAGAAAAACAAAAGAATTGAAAAAACAAAAAAAAACGAGCCCGACCCGAACCGCCCGGGCCAGTTCAACAAATACTTGGCCCAAGTCCAGCCCACCCACCCCTCCCCAACCGGGTAAAAGCCCGGACCCGGATAGCACCAACTAGGCCGGTCCGGGCCCACACAGTGGCGGGCTGGGCCGGTGCTGGGCCGAACCGGTTAGGTCCATCCCTACTTGGAGTGAACAGTTTACTTTTTTTTTTTGCATAAACAAGTGACTTAATTTCACAAGTAATTATTGTCTATTGGCTTGACTCGACTCTAGGTACATATATTGTTTTCCTAAATATCAAAAAAGCACAAATAACTTTCTGAACGGATTTTTTATCGACAAAAATCAAACTAACTTAGATTAATAAGACCATGGTTCAGTGAAGAAGAAAATACAAGCACGAGGAAAATGATGCTAAACATAGCTGCCAGACATAGAACTAGCCAGCCTAGCCATATCATCGTGTGCTCCCCGGTTCACTTGGTCCAAAAGGTGGAATCTCCCACCCCAGGAGCCCCCCATACCCCGACCCGACAGGATTTTTGGGAGGATGTTAATCACGGTCACTCAGTCGGCCCAATGATGGTAGGCCTTTTTCCCGTGCGCACCAGAGGCCCAGCCTTATTTCAGGTTCTGTGACCTCCACACGGACGCTGCGGGTTTCGAACCTTGGTCACTTGGTCCAAATTTCCCACCACTGAACCAACTGAGCTACCCGTGCGGGTATGTGCTCCCCGGTTCACCTAACGCTTTACATGAGCAAACTTAATGCTATTAACATTACCAGATAGCTCCCTAATATCAACTAAAATGCCAAAAGCAAACTATTCTGATCTTCCAAATGGATTATTAAGAATGGTGAATATATATATAATCGTACATGCTCAGGGACTTTGGGCTCAAATCACTGCTTCGCGCAACTCCTTACAATTTGTGCCACTTCCAATTCCCTCTTACCTGGGGTGCTTGCCACGGATATGGTGGACAGATGGGATCAATAATGATTTCTTCACTGTTCTAAAAATCGGTCTAGTCGGACCGATTAATCGGCCTAGTCAGTCCTAAATGTAGGGACCTAGTCAGCCAAAAATCGGCCTAGTCGGCTAAAAAATCAGCCTAGTCGGCCGTCTAGGCGCCCCTCAACCGCCCGACTAGCGAGTTTTAGAACAATGGATTTCTTGAATTGACCATAGAATCCCAAGGCTTATCAGAAGTAGGGACTTAACTTTCTCATAAAAGGTCAAGAAACTCTTTTTAACCCTCCTAACCTTATCAGTTAACTGAGTCCTCCCAACAAAAATATTCAATCTATCCTTAATGAAGTCACGGAAGGTAATAGAACAAAATCTGGCCCTTCCGTGGGCCTCGTAGTAAATCTTTTCTTTGAGAATGACAATCTTATCATCTTCACTCCACCGAGGTCGTTTAGCCGTAGACTTCTTTATTTTCTTCTTCTTCTTTGAGAGAGAAAATAAAGAAGTCTGCGGCTAAACGACCTCGGTGGAGCGAAGATGATGAGATTGTCATTCTCAAAAAAAGGTTTACTACGAGGCCCAAAAAGGGGCCAGAGTTTGTTATATTACATTGTATGACTTCATTATGGATGGATTGAATATTTCTCTTGAGAGGACTAAGTTAACAGATAAAGTTAGGAGGCTTAAAAAAATTCTTGACTTTTTATGAGAAAGTTCATGTCCCTACTTTTGATAAGCCTCACGATTCTATGGTCAATTGAAGAACACTTTCATCACGGTTTGCCTGAAAACTTAGGACCAACTTCTTCAGTTTAGGCATGTCAGGGAAGTTGAGTAGCACAATATGACGTGCCTGCAAGTGAGAACCAACTGTTTAAACAATAAGGATACATTAACAATTTCTCATAGATAGCCAGCCATAGATGTCTCACCTGATGGATCTCCAGCCACAGGGAAAGAATCTGCAATTGGGAAAGGCAGCAAATCAGTGCAGCAACTAACAATGGAATTTCAACTTTCCCACAACAAATATGTATATCAACAAGCATTGAAACATTCCTAAGCACGAGTCCATTTGTTGTCCCAACTGAAAGTGAAGTATGATTTGGTGCAGAAACCTCAAGGGATATGAAATCATAGATGCAGCATAACTCCAAGTGCTTTAACGCAAGGGATGAGCCGCAAACTTCAAGATTTGATAATTTCTCTATGCTGTAGAGAAATATTTGCTCATGGAATGGGCAGTTATGTACGAAAAACTCAATAGCTTCATCACTCACATGAACATTTTTGAAAGACAATGATTTGAGGGATTTAAAGTTAAATAGTGTGGTACAAGTAATAGGAGGATGATGTCGGTGAAGGACACGTGGATTCTGGAACAAGAATTTATCTGGGAAGACATGGACATTCCCCGGCAATGACATGTGACAACCAAATTCTAGAAGGTCCAACTCCAACCTTTCAACTTGTCTCTCAAAAGCAAATTTAAGCCACTGTGAAATTGACTCAGAGGATGATTTTCCTACATCAAAACAGATCCTGAAGTCTTCCAAGGTCAGCCCCCTTTGTGCGGTAAAGATTTGAGGACTGAGTTCACCCATCTTACATACTTGCTCCTTTCCGTGTTGCGTTGCCTTTTATCTTTTCCAATCTTGTCCAATGCACTGTCATCAATAAAATTGAGGTGGGAGGTGTTTTTCCACGTATTCTTCCGACGAGATGAAAGAACACTAGTGTGCCCAGCGTCATTCAGCGGCAGAGAAGTCAATATAGCAACTAGAATGTCATCAGGCATCCAACTTATCCAATCATCCATGTCGAATCTCTCGACAAACTATCACAACAAGCATATATGAAATGAGTAGAATCTAGGATTAGATTGAAGTCACTGAACTCATGATATAAGACTCTTAGGCCAAACCTCACTGAAAATATTGAATCAAATGGATCAGCAAAACAGAAAATTTTCCAAAGTTCTATTTCATAATATAATAAGTTAATAACCCATTATCAATGTTTACTAGGCGCTAAATCAGCTCGAGCTTTTCATTCCATATTGCTCCAGCTTTATGTTTCGTAGGCATTTGATTAGCTTTAGCTTCGTACTACTGGGATATATTGTCTACTTGTGAATTATTTGAAAAGTGTTCCTTTGTTGAATCATAAAATTTTATTTTTTAATTAAAGTCATATCCAACTAGCCTTGATTCAAATGAAATTGATTGATTTGATTTGCACTTCGCTATATTTGTTAATCCAGCCAATAAGAATAATATATTGATTAAATTTTTAGTATAGTTTCTACATCCAAAAGCTAAAGATTGCGTGTAACAATTTATAAATTTTATAAAGACAAGGTATTATGGTTCCCTCTACATCCATATCATTTTAACGTTTAACATGAACTCATGGTTGCAGGGGCGGAGCCAGGGGGTCAGGATGGTCAGCCAACTCCGCTGAAAGTTTGAGAGTATAGAACTCTAAAATATCTTCAATTTGATATATTATGGCTCTCGTAACTCATTACGAGCAAAAATTTATGACTTCTGGAAAATCAGCACTATTTAAACGTAAAATCAGCAAAATTTGAGGCATATTATAGATTATTTTCCCAAATTTTAAAAATAGGGTATAATTCACTCAAAGTTCCACATTACCAACATTTCGCTAATTCACTTAAGCTGAAGAGTTTGCCCCTTAAGAAGCCTCAAAATTTAAAAGAATTAGAACAAGATAGTCTGAGGTTGCACATAGAAGAAATTATTTAAAACAGCCATATAGCCTAACAAATTAATAATTCATTAAAGCCTAATATTGCAGCAGGATTAAAAAAAGTTGTTTTAGAATGTAGAACAACAATGCAGCAAGTTTTTCTTTTTGTAAGAGCTGACCAAACCTTCTTTGGTTGAATCTTGAAATCAGGAATGAAATGCGTCCTAATTCCTACCACCCATCAAAGCGTGGGGGGGGGGGGGGGGGGGGGTGAATCGATAAATACCAAAAAATAGGAAAAGCATACACTACCTAGAAATTAGCAGCGGGAAACCGTCTGCTCCAATCTCATGAAAAATCACTGCAAAGTATGGACTCTGAATATCAGATGCTAAACAAGATACTTCTGGCATACTGCCTGAAACGCACACAGTTCACACGTAGCAGGACTCACAAACAAACAAAACAAGATTAAAATTTCACGTCTTCGTTCTGAAAGGAAAATAGCAGTAGCTTTTGTCGGGAGGTTGCCTAGTTGCCTCCTAGGTCTGATTCTGAATTGACTACGGTAAAGGAATGCGTTCGGATAGGGCCAACCTCTTTTTAGACAGACAACTTACGAGCATTTCGGTTGTTTTAGGGTTTTCAGTTCGGTGGACATGTGGTCTCCCTATGGTTGGACTCGGGTCGGGCCACCCGGCCCGTGGACCGGCCCAGCCCGTGGACCGGCCCGGTCCGCTACTGTGCGGGACCAGGACCGGCTCGGTTCTCGGGTCCGGGTCCGGGTCAGGCCTAGGCCCGGTGGGTAGTGCGGGTCCGGGCTCGGGTCTCACTTTTGGCGAACCGGCCCGGTCGGGTCGGGCCCGGATCCAGGCCAAATTGATAGCTTTTTTTTCATTTTTTGGGGTTCCATCCGGGTTGGGGTTGATGGTTAGGAGGGGCTTGGGGGGTTTGGGAGGGTGGGGGTGAGGGGGGTTAGGAAAGCAAAAAAAATACCCAAATCGGAGGCCCGGCCCGGCCCGGACCCGGACCGGACCCGGTGGCTACCCGGGCCGGTCCCGGGTCCACCATTCCTGAACCGCCGCCCCGCCCGGGCCTAGGCCCAACCTGGACCCGGCCCGGACCCGGCCCGGACCCGAGTCCAACCCTAGGTCTCCCCGTTAAAACATCATAGATTTTGAAACTCGAAGGAATATAAGACTGGATGAATATAAGACTGTGATGGATTGTTTTTGTATATAGAAATTCATCAAAATTTATGCAAATAAGTAACAATTGAAATTCACAAAATGTTTCAGAACACTATTATTTCATATTTTCATGGATTCCACAGAAATCCAAATCAGGGACACGTGAATTCTGACGGATTTTCTAAACTCCATTAAAATCCTCTAAAATTTGAATTGGGAACACCCCCTAAACTCTTGAGTCCCATCATCTTCGGTGATGGTTCAAGATTTTATTGAATCCGTATTCCTGAAACGATTCTATTTGGTTACGTCTTAGATTTAAACTCCTTTGTAGTTCCATTTTCAAACAGAAAGATATCATACTATTATCAAACAATGTCATTTTTTCTAATCGTTTAAGAGGGTGTATTCATTTGGGACATTTTAAAACATTTAAAGATTTGGGACATTTGAAAACATTTGGGGATTCTAATAGACTTTTCAGTACATATGTGGACTTCATTAAAACATTTTGGGACATCAAATTAAAACAATTCGGTCTCCCCTAAGTCGTCCTTGAAGATGAGTTGCAGACCATCTGAGTGGGTAGCTGTGATTTTCGTTTACAAGGAGGGTATGTTTCCCAGCTGAAGATTCCCAAAAGAGAATCCCTAGTTTTTTTTGTTTATGTTTTAAATACACCATGACATTTTGAAAGTATAAATGTCTCATTGAGAATCCTCAAGACTTTGAGAATCTAAAATGTCCTAAAAAGTCCCAAAAGAACACCCCCCGTACATTACTAAGCATTGCAACTGCAAATCTGTACTAAGGACTAATAAAATTTATATTTGTAGGGGTAGTGACTCACAATATTAGTTATTTCATTCATAAAACAAAATTACTTATTGAACTGGAGTTATAGATAATAAAGCAAAAAAGTTACTAAATACGTACTAGGGACTCATTTTATAAGAACCGGTCATGACATGATTTGGAATCGATACATTACAGTTCAGGATAGAAATTTAGAGCCTGTTTGCTGACTCTGTTTTTCGGTTTATCGAGCTTATCGGTCAACTTTTTAACCAAACACGTAACTTTTGATTTTGCGCGCTGAATTGTGTAATAATAAGAAAAAGTAACGTTGGAGTTACTTTTCTGGCTGTATTGACTAAAGTTATTGTGGATGACCATTTTAGTTATTTCTTCATATAATTATTTCTTTATTTTATTAATAAATTATATTTTAAATATAATTTTTTTCATTAATCGGCAGAATCGGCCAATACAGCCACTTCAACCAGAACTTTATAAATTTCAGCAGAATAAGTCAATTCAGCCGATTTGAGTGTTACCAAACGGGATCTTAGAGATTCATTTGAAACCCCGTTTTTCGGTTCGGTAACATTAGAAATTTAGAGATTCAAATCAAATAATTTAAAACTTAAAAATTGTAGTCCAGTTGAATTCGAACAGATGTAACATTTGATTTGATCATATTTTTCTATTTAGTGCATTTACGTGCTAAATAAGGATAAATACTCCTTTAATACTTTAGTGATCAACACTTTAATACTTTAGTGACCAACACTAGGGGTGCAAATGAGCCGAACCGAGCCCGATTCTTTAGACTCGAGCTCGAGCTCGAAATACATAGTATTGGCTCTAGCTCGGCTCAAACGAGCTTAAAAGATTGGGGCTCGAGCTCGACTCGCAAATATTTAGAAGGCTCGGTTTGGCTCAGTTGGCTAGATAATTTTGGGTCGGTTGAATCATTTACAAAATCGTAATTAATAAAATATTTGTAGTCACAATGACATGTTTGTAGGAGTAGTGACTCACAATATTAGATTTTTCATGACATGTTTGATTTATGACATGTCATTGTAGGACTCACAATGATGACATGTCCTGAGAGGACTAAGTTAACCGATAAAGTTAGAAGGCTTGAAAAAAATTTCTTGACCTTTTATGAGAAAGTTAATGTCCCTACTTTTGATAAGCCTCACGATTCTATGGTCAATTTAAGAACACTTTCATCACGGCTTGCCTGAAATCTTAGAAACAACCTTTTCAGTTTCGGCATGTCAGGGAAGTTGAGCAGCACAATATGATGTGCCTGCAAGTGACAACCAACCATTTCAACAAGAAGGATACATTGTTTTTTTCATAGATAGCCAGGCATATAGATGTCAGAATCTCCGATCGGGAAAGGCAGCAAAACAGTGCAGGAACTAACAATGGAATTTCAACTTTCACGCAGCGAATATGTATATGAACAAGCATTGGAACATTCTTAAGGACGAGTCCATTTGTTGTCCCAACTGAAAGTGATGTTAGATTTGGTGAAGAAACCTCAAGGGACAAGAAATCGTAGATGCAGCATAGCTCCAAGTGCTTTAAACAAGGGATGAGCCGCAAACTTCAAGTTTTGATAATTTTTCTATGTCGTGGAAAATTAATTGCTCGAGGAATGGACAGTTACGTAAGAAAAACTGAAAAGATTGAAGTCACTCAACTCAAGATATAATACTCTTAGGCAAACCTCACTGAAAAGATTGAATCAAATGGATTAGCACAATAGAAATTCTTCAAAACTTCTCGTTCATAATATAATAACCCATTATCGATGATTACTAGGCGCTAAATCAGCTCGAGCTTAAAATTCCATATTGCTCCAGCTTAATATTTAGTAGGTGTTAGATTAGCTTCAGCTTTGTACTACTGGGATATATTGTCTAGTTTTGAATTATTTGAAAAGTGTTCGTTTGATGAATCATAAAATTTAATTTTCAATTTAATGTGATATATAACTAACCCTGATTCAAATGAAATTTGTTCTTCTACTTGCACTTTGCTATATGTTTCAATGTAGCCAAAAAGAATAATATATTGATTATATAAACTTTTAGTATAATTTATGCATCCAAAAGCTAAAAATTGCGTGTAAAAAATTATAATAAATCTAATTTTATAGAGGCAAGGTATTATGGTTCCCACTAAATCCAAAAGCTTTCACACTGTGGGTCATCCGGAAACAGTCTCTATGTGCTTTAGAATAAAGGTAAGACTGTGTACATCCGACCCCCACCACACCGTAGGTGCGAGCCTTTGCGGCACTGGGTGATAATGATTATGATGATGAACACAGAATTAAGTTGCATTTAAATATTATTACGTATTAGTTACAACTTATGACATTGTCTCTAACAATGTTTAATTTGGATCTCCATTACATGGTTGCCTCAAATAATATTTTGAATCATTATAACTTGGTTGCCTCCGTTGATGCTTTTAGGCGAGATAATACGATCATCTCTCTAAATGTATAACTTTCAACATCACATACTTGTTGCCCCTAATGACGGTTTAAGAGCAAACATGATTTAATGACAAATTCATTCGAAGCAACCAATAAATTGTCTGAAAACTTATTAAAGGCAATTTCCCTATTTTTAGAGGCAAGACACAAATGCCTCAAAGCTCCACATTGCCAAGAGAGTTGCAAGTCACTTAATGAGTACTATAACTCTGGCACACCCAAATTGACCCAAAGCTCCACATTGCCAACATTTCCCTAATGCACATAAACTGCAGAGTTTGCCCCTGAAGAAGCCTCAAATTGAGGTTCCACATAGAAGAAATTGTTCTAAACAACAATGTAGCCTAGAAAAGTAATATTCCATTAAAGCCTAAAATTGCAGCAGGATTAAAAAAAAGTTCTTTTAATATGTAGGACAACAAAGCAGAAACTTTTTCTGAGAGCTGACCACCATCTTTGGTTGAATCTTGGAATCAGAAATGAAATGTTTCTTATCGTTGGAAAATAGTTTTAACTCTCCTTTCTCGAGTTTCATGATCGGTAGATTTCCAAACAGGTTACCGGACATCATCTTGGATCAAACGTCAACACTGCTCTGATACCAAGCATGAAGGCAAACATCATCAGCCTGGGACAACTAATGGAGAAGGGGTACACAGCCGACCTTAGAGGTCGCTACATGAATTTGAAGGACAAAAAAGGGCGAAGCATTGCTCTAGTGGAGATGGCCAAAAATAGGATGTACAAATTGGGCTTGAGAAGCGTAAACCATGAGTGCTTGAAAGTCAATCTGACAGACAAGTCACTCTTATGGCACATGCGTTTCGGACACTTGAACTTTGGTGGACTTGCCGAACTGAGTAGAAA